ATTAAAATATTAATTCTTTATAAAATAAAAAAGTTTCTAATTATAAATACATATATAAATACATCTTAACCAAAAAAATTAAGTATATATAATATAAGATACTTTACGAGGAAGATAGAAATATATTATGACTAAATTTTTAATTTATAGTCGATATTCCCAAACACGAGTTGTGTTAACATAAAACACTCAAATTTGGGTTCCTAGCCTTCGATACTAGACAAAAAAGACAACAGTAAAAATCCTCGGTGTTACACTTACTAAGAGTTTGTTTGACATTCTGGTTGGAAGACCAAAAACACTTATTTTGAGAAAAAAATATTTTATTTGAAAAATAAAATGTTTGGCAAATTAATAAAACTACTTTTAAATAGAAACAAAAGCAATTTTTTTGTTGTCGAGAAGAAACTAAAAATATGTTTCTTATAAAAAAATAGAAGTTGAAGTAGAAAATTATATTCCGTCCATATTTTCATATTTGTCCATATATCCCTTATTAATTAATTGACACATCTCATAACTTTTGGTAAAAGTTTCATTTAAGAATTTGATTTTTATATAATTTTTTATTATTATTTTAAGTTTATTATCATTACTTTACATTTGATATTTAAATTATATTTGAATCATGATATTAATACTATATCGCTAGTTATTTTATTTATTTATTTATGTATAATATTAATTGAAAATTTTAATATGTACATTTTAATTCAATAAAAATAAAAGTTTGATTAATTTTTTTATAATAGATATTTAAAATAATTTTTTTCTATTAAATAATCTTCATATTAAAAGTATATTGATATTTTTCATTTTCTGTAATTTAGCACTTAAAAGCATTTTTTTTAAAAATTAGTCAAACACAATTTGCTTATCAAAAATATTTTTCAAATGAATAAACAAACACAAATTGCTTTTCTTTCAAAAGTACTTTTCTGGAAATTATTTTAAAAAAGTACTTTTAAAAATAAGCAGATTTTAGTAGCAATGTCAAACAGTCTAAATCAAGGAAGCATTAATTAAATTTTCCTATATTACCCTTACAATTAGTTCTTTTTTAAACTGTTTACAATGGTTTGTAAAATTTCCAAAAAGTTTTTTAATAGAGTGAATTATAGTAAAATTATCTTTTATTTATGATTTCTTAATATACACATAAAAAGGAAAATGATCAACTAATATAAGACGGAGAGAGCATATTTTTAACTAAAACTTTCTTTAAAATTGTTTTAAGTCAACGCGAGTAAAGTAATACCAGACGAAGAGAGTACGAGGATAAATATCTCTAAATAACAATAACAATAACAATTTTGTCTCAATCTTAAATGAGTTGGAATTAATTAGAAATCCTTGTTTGTTCATTTAAGTTGATATCATATGGTCATCATATTAACAAATAAATAAAAGTAAAAAATATGTTAAAATATATAAAAATAATATTAATAATAAGAATAAGAATAACAAAAGTTTACCCATCCTCAATTGGTAGCTATCATTTATATTGAATTTGAATTGAATTCATTTTTTATCATGTTCTATTTTTAGATAAGTCTGTATTAATATCGAATAATTTTATTTTCTTATCTTTGAAAATCACTTCCTTCCATGCAATTAATTTTTGCTCTACCCCGACATCTTAACATCTTCACATAACATATAAATTTCACACCTATGACCAATATATTTATAAGTTGAGGTAGAACATGTTCAAACCATCTCAAACAACCTTCCACGATATGCGGGACTTGCACTTTCTTACAAAATATGATCATTTCTAAACTTATTTAAATTCGTCTGAATCATTTATATAATAATAATAATAAAGTGCAAATAAAGAAAATGATGTACCAATAATTTAATAATAACTTACATTTTTAATAGTATTTTTTCTCCTCCACATTTTATTGTGTTTACATATGACTTTGACCATGCGACTCGTGCTTCTTCATATGTTGACTTCAATTTCTTCAAACATTAAAATTCTCTAGCGGTGGACACACTAATATGTCTTTTGGTGAGCCATTAAAAAAGTTTCATTTTATTATTTCTAGGAAAAGAGTTAAATATATCTTTGAATTATTCAAAATAAATAATTTTACGTTTTATCTTTAACTTAAAATTTTCCTTTTTATTTAACTATTGTTCTAAATTTTGTCTTTAAAATATACAAAATAGGATCGTTTAATCCTTTTTTTTTTTTTCTTGGATGGATAAGAGAATTGAATGTCTGAGACATATAATAACGTACATAAAAATTAGTAATATAAATACTTTATTTCTTCTTCTGATGATGATGATTCCTTATACATTATGAAAAGGTTTTTATTTCTGAGCATGACGTCACATAACTTTTTAGTTTATTTTTCTACCTTGATAATAATAAATAATTCAATTGCTTATAAAAAAGATGATTAAAAGATTGCTACCATTAAAAATAAAAATAAAAAAAATGAAAGAATTGAGCACTTCTTGCACGTTTTCAAAATAACTAATCTACATAGTATATGATCTTGCAGCTTCCAAGAAATTCCAATAAATTAAAATTAAAGAAAAGGCCATGTGCTATTGAATTAAATAAGTTAATAAATATTTTAGTATGTCCTAAATATGATTAAATAGTGGAAAATACAATTGTTCTATAAAAATGCGAATGCAATGGACCTTGTTAACTATTTCTTTCGTAGTATTGAGCTCAAAAGAAATTAAAGGCAACATATATATCTTAAAACTCGAAAAACATATAAAACTCGATTGATCTGATCTCTCCATTTTTGAAAACATCAAATTTCATTTTCTAAATGATTCTGTTTTTTTTTCCTTTCTGTTTAACAATTTAAATCCTTTTAATAATGTTTGATCTATTAATTAGTAATGTCAAAATTAACTGAAAAAACATATATGATAAGTCCAGTGGCGTAGCTAGAAATTTAACGAAGGGTGTCCAAGAATTATATAAGCAATTTTTTTTTTGATAAATAGATGCACTAAAAAATTCAAAATCGAACTATGTACTATTAATATTTTTTTTATGAATAAATGTTCTACAATTTTAAAAATCAAATCACATGATATGTAGCTTAATCATTTTTTAAGTTTCAAACTTACACTAATCTCTAGTGACGACAACAATATCGAGACACGAAAAATAGAACTAGAAACAAATGAGGTCTTCTTTTGTTTGCTTTTAACAACGTTGTACAAATATTAGAATTTTATTTCAAACTTTAATGAAAAGAAATAAAAAAATCAAATTCATTGAAAATTCAATTAGCTTTATTAGATTTTTAAGTTAAAGATTTATAAGAAATTTACTAACTCTTAGACAATTAAAGGAATAATAAAATATGAGCTCTTTAAAAAATGACTTGCTTTTAACATCGTTATACAAATATTAGAATTTTATTTCCAACTTTAATGAAAAAAGAAATAAAAAATCAACTTCATTGAAAATTCAATAGGCTTTATTAGGTTTTTAAATTATAGATTCGAACCTGCGCGTCAAAGCTCTACAAGAGAGCCTCCAACCGCTGAGCCACAGTAGGTTATTATGACAAGGGTATCTAAAGTATTAAATTTAACCATTTTGAACAGGATTTTATTTACGGTATAATTTTCCACGAATTGGACACCCTCAAGACATTGTAGCTATGCCCCTAATGATAACTAATATCGATAGCTCATGTGAACAAGTCAAGACTCAAGAGAGTAAAATAGGAGGCACGTGGGGTACGTTCGCAGCGTTAGCTTATTACAAGCTTCTTATAAGATCCATGGCTCTAAGGCATGGCTAAATATTCCTCACTTATTCAGCTTGAATTCGAAGATGATATGGCATTATGATGGAGGGCAGGTCGATAATGGAGTACCGATAGACTTTCAATTTGATAAGTTTTTAAAGGGAATATACGATATACCTTAGGTGAATTCCCCATTTGAAAAAGAAAAGAAATGGAAGGTAAAATTCTTTATAAGACATCTCATAATATGTCCTTAGAAACTCTTAATATGAAATGGAAGACACAAAAAATTACTAGATATTTTAAGGAAAATATTAAGAAAAACGTTGGTTATGCATGCATAGCAATATCCTTTTTAAATTACTACGAACTTAAAAAATGATAAAATAATTTTCCATAACTAATTATAATTTCAGAATTGCTACTTGATAAAAAGAAAATTAATAAATATTGGGTTTATTAATTTAATCCCTAAAATTAACCCAATACTATATAAAAGGGAGTTCAATTGTGCATCCCGCAAACAACGTGGGATCAACATTACAACCTAATAACATTATAACAAATAAAAGATTTAATTTATTGGTAATAATACAATTCTCGTTATATTATAATATAAATATTATTTATAATCAACACTTAAGCTATATAGCCTTTAGCGACTCTGAATATAATGATGTTGACTCAATTATCATTAAATATTTATATATCGTCACTAAATATCTCTTTTAATTTATTGTAGTGTAAAGACAAACCCATTATAGTTTTCTAGTTATTCTCTTTTCAATCAAAAATATTTGGAATAAGATATCAACTTTTTATAAAAATAAATTCTACTCAAATTCAAACGAATACTGCTTTTGCTAACTTACAATAATTTTCTCAAAGAAGAGAAGCATCTTTTGAGATCTTAAACATTAAAAAAATCAAAAAGAAATAAACGTGTTTTTTTTGCCCCACCCAAATATTTATTAGTAATTATTACGAAACACGGTCTACATCTGACAAAAACAAAAAGAACCCATAATTGTCAAATGGAAAATAAATAAATTCATTATTATAGTACAAAAATATATATTTCATTATTCAAATAAAAATAACCATGCTATGCAGGTGTCTTAAATAGAACCTTCCTAGCAATTAATTCCCACAAACTTTATTTTAAAAAGTTTGTCTTATAATTATAAAAAATAATCCACCAGCCAAGCATATAAATTATAAATATTGCACGTTCCAAAACCCTAAACTATCAACAAAAAAAATAAAATGAATCCCTCTGATTTTTCTCTTCTTCAATCTATACAACATCATCTCCTTAATGATTCTGATATTCCACATATATTTTCAGCTATTGATTCCAATAATACCCCTACTAATTTTACACAAAATAATTTCGATTATGGGGAATTAACACCATTAATAAACCCTAGTACTACATTACAAGCCAATGAAAAATCCGAGGTTGAAGAGTCCAAGGCCGTGGTGGCGAGTGTGACACACGCGCCACAAGATTGGAAGCGGTACCGAGGAGTAAGAAGGAGGCCGTGGGGTAAATTCGCGGCGGAGATAAGGGATCCGGATAAGAAAAATGCGAGATTATGGTTAGGGACTTATGAGACACCGGAGGATGCAGCATTGGCTTATGACCAAGCCGCTTTCAAGATTCGTGGCTCGAAAGCTCGGCTCAATTTTCCTCATTTAATCGGTTCGGGTATGCCCGAGCCGGCTAGGGTGAACCCTAGGCGTCGATCGCATTCGCCGGAATCGTCATGTGAAAATGGAACACCAAGAAAACTATATATTATTTAATTTCGTGTTTAATTACGTTTTATGTTGTGATTAAGCGTAAATTTTCAATTTTGTAATACTGGGAAGCAAATAAAATAGATTTTGCTAGGACTGTGAAATGATCCCTTTTGTATTTGATGACATACTAATGTATCCAAGATACAATTTAGTGAGTCTTCACAATTTTAATTTTTTTTATTATTATTTTCCCGCCCAATGTTTGTACTGCGTTTGAGACTAACTATTTTGAGTTTGTGTCAAGTTGGGTGCAATTCGGAGGAAATGATTCTCTAGTCTCTACCAAGGATTTTTCTGTACTCAAGACTTTTAATTAAGGGAGGAGCAATTTCATTCACTACATCACATTCATTGCTAGCTAGTCTTCACAAACTTTCTTTTATTGAGAGTCTCTAAAAATATGTGGATTTCTAAAAAATACTGTCAATTGCTACTTCCTCTGTCCAACAGTAGTTGTCCATTATTGATTTGACACATTCCTTAAGAAACAATAAATAATATGAGTAATATTACTATATTAGCTTTTGACTTTATTAAATTTAATGTTTTGAGAAATATGTTAGATGATAAATAGTATTTAATTGCAAGGGTAAATAGACACAAAAGATAAATTATCTCTTGTTTTTCTAAATTGGACAAGTATTGTTGGACAACTTTCTTTTAGTATAATGGACAACTTTCGTTGAACGAAAGAAGTATTATATATTTCTCAAAGTTTTAGATGTGGTTAGAAAGAGCAGTATGTTATTCATTCAATATTATTTTCAACACGTGAGTTTGATTCTTTTTCATAACCTCACACTTTTCTTTTTATACTTTGATATAAGTATGTAATCATTTTATTTAAAAATTTATATTAAAAAAATACACATTTATATTTATGATTGAATACATGGATATGACCCTTATATACATTAGCCTGAATATGTTGTTAAACTCGGGTACATTTTGATTGAGGCTAAAGCTTATATTAAAAAAAATTTATTTTATGTAGTGAACTTATATACATAATGAATGTTTACCACATATATAAAAGAAAATTAAAATCTGAGACAAAAGTGCATTCTAGGAATACTTGAACATTATTTATTCATGTTCTTAATTGGTTGACATACTATAATCTTAGTGTTTAAATATTATTTTTTTGACAAATTTAAGAAATTATTGATGCATTCAAGCTATTTCGATATGTATCATAAATTAACCCACAAGACGATTTTCCTTTGTTTGATATGTAATGTAGTACTTAAAAAATTACAAAAGAAGAAATTATGAATTATAAACTAAGTAAAATTGGTCAGGTTGGATTAATTTTCTTTTTTTAAGCTTATTTTAGTTTAAATATTTTTCATTATCCACTTATTTATTAACTTAATTTATTTTAACTCGTTCATATTTAATTCAAATTGCTCATTTGACTCGGAGTTCTTATACGGTACAAAACAATTATGAGTCTTCAGCCGAATTCATTCCCAGACTAATTTAACAATGTAAAATATTATTGATAAAATTTAAGTTATAATACTTGAAATCATTTTTTTAGGAAGAATTTTTTTTATTAAATATTATGCATCAATACAAATTTTTATTTTGAGGGGACAACTAATGGAAGAGAACATGGATTTGTTGTCGATATACTATCAGACCCAAAAATATAGATACAATATAACTAGAGTTGTCAAAAAGGGTCGGTCCAGCCCCCCCGGTCCAAGCCTCGTGAGCCAAGGAATTTGAAGGGCTAGGGCGGACCGACCCTTCATTTGGAAGGACTTGAAAATGCTCAATTCAACCCAACCCTACAAGGGCCGAAGGCTGAGGCGGGCTAGCCCTTTTTTTTTATCAAACTTATAATTCTATACATCAAGAAAATGAGAAGATTTTCAAATCAAATATGACAAACAATGATGTTATTTCAATAACACCAGCAAAAAAATCTAGTGTAATTAGCATGTATCTTGCATACCAGATACATGGGCAAGATAAAAGAGTGACAAGCAAGATGGGAGGGAGTCGAGGGCGCAAGATTTGTCTATGTATCCTAGATACATGCGAATTTACTTGGATAGAGTGTATCTAGAACAAATTAACCTAATTGAGTCAATATATTTCGAGAACGTGTAATTGAACATACCAAAATCTAGTAAGATTCATAATATTACAACATCGCATGTATTTAAGTAATTAGATTATACACTAGTGAAATTATTGTAAGTTACCCTTGAATAAAAAGTTTTGGCCTATGGGCCGACCCCGATCAAGCCTCAATGGCCAAGAGCTTATATAGGCCGGGCTTATAAGCCCTAATTTTAAATGGGCTTGAAATTTTTTGTCCCAACTCTACATCAATAACGGGTGGGGTTGGGCCGGCCCCATGGAATAAGCCCATTTTGACGGCTCTAAATATATAACAACTTGTGCTTTATATATATTTTATATATATATATATATATAATTTATTTAGCCATAATGTGGATTTTTTTCTAAAAGTTTATCAACCTTAAAGTATATTAGTTTTTTTTTTACCCGCAGTCTTATCAATACTTACTTAATTACTTTAATAATTTTTTTAATAATTTTTTTAGTTACTATTATTTTGACAAAACATTTTATTATTGAAGATATTTTGAGAATAATTCTAACGAATCAATATGATTAGATATCAACCCAAATTTTAATATATTAAAATAACTAAAAAGATCAATAATCAATCTAAACTTAAACATATTATAGTTGCATCATGAGCTAATTTAATCACCTCTACCATCTCAACCGTCATCAAGCATTTCTATGAGACTATATACTATACTAATTGTGTCGCATGTAGGAATTTCATAACAATTACTCAATTAGTGAATTGCTCTTATTTTCTAAAAAAAGAATTTCAACTTGACACGCATGTCCATTTTACGGTTGTTATGTGTATGGTGGTAGTTAACATACTATATGATAAAAGAAATAAATTAGGATTTATTATTTTCAAATTATTTCTTCATTATTCTTTCCTTTTCTTTCTTATTTTTTGGGTACAACGATAGGATTAGGTGTAATGTAAGATAGATTTTAAATGTTCTCATAATATCTTGTACAATGTCTTATTCTTGTATAATTAAGTAAAGATTACAATCTCTTCTTCGCTTGAAATTTAACGGTCGAAAAATCAATATGAAGCCTGATTTGAGTCACCTAATAACTTGAATATCTTTAAACATATCTTAAAATAATCAAATTCAACTTCTATCTCCCGGATATCAAGTGTCTCTAGAATATGACCAGGGGCGGCTCAAACCCATTGGTGGCCTAAGGCGAAAATCAAACTAGAGGCCTTAAAAAAAATTATAAATGTTTTTATTTTAAAATCTACTTTTCTAGCTTTTTGAGATGCAAAGTTGTTAATAATTTTTGTGTAGTCAATCTCTTCTAATAATTCCTTTTCAATCGATAATATAGCCAAACCACTTAATCTTTCTTGAGACATTGTCGATCTTAAATAAGATTTTATTGTTTTTAATTTTGAAAAACTTCTTTCGGCTGAGGCGACTGTTACGAGAATTGTTAACATTATTCTATAAGCAATGTAAGCATTTGGAAAAGAATCAAGTCTTTTTATTTGATTGAGTATCTCAATTAGAGTATTGTCTTCTACTTTTACGATTTCCCTTAACACTTTAAGTCAGAAAATAAGTCTAAACCGTCAAATCTTGTTCTTAATTTCACTTGCCAATAAATTTATTAATTCATTTTGTATATTATGTCCAAGATAATGATTATGAATTTCATCATGTTTGATTCGTCAAATATGTTCTTGCATAATTGGATCAAATTCTGCAATCATTTCAATAAGACTCAAGAAATTTCCGTTATTTTCTTGATAGATTTTTTCATTTTCCCCCCTAAATGCCAAATTATTTCTTCCAAGAGTTTTTATGACGGAAATAATTCTTGACAATACATTTTTCCAATGTTCTCTATCTCTATTAATTTGGTCTTGAATGTTTTTATCGATTGTTTTATTATTACGCAATCTAAATTCTAAATCAATCCATGAACTCATATTAATAATATGTTGGCTAGTTGTTTCATGGGTTCTAAGCTTAGTAGTAAGATTTTTCCAATCTCCACTACCTTCATTTGCTAACTTATTATTCTTTGCATTAAAGGTCGTATTAAATAACTTACAACAAAAACAAAATACCTTATTCAAATCTTTGGAATAAACTAACCATCTTCTTTCATGTCTTTCTCCATTTACCAACTTTTGAAAATAATATGTAGTAGAAAAGTGCCTTAGAAATTTATCCTTTGGAAAACATGAGTCGGTAATTCTAATTGGTCCCTTTTCTACTAATAAGTCTCTTAACTTTGTATCAACAATATTTCATTGACTAGGATCATAGATATTTTTAGTAGTATGATTATTTAATTCATTTATAAGTTCTTGATTTTCTTGGGAATCTACATCCGACTTTTCACTAATTTCCTCTCCTTCTTCTTATTTTTGGTTTATATCATTATCTAACTCAACTTCAACTAAGTTTGTAACTTGTTATTCTAAAGAGCATTCCCCTACCTTTTTTGATTTAATTTTATCATTGTTTTCCAAAAAATTATCAAGAGCACCTTTTTGAGATTTTATCAAGTTATCGACTTTTCTTTTTCTTTTAAGTTTTGAATGACCGGATTCATATTTTCTAGTTGACATATTAAAATCTAACAAATATTTTAAACACTATTTACAATATCAAATAAAAAATATAATAAACATAAGACACAAACCAAAAATAATATTAGAAATTAGAATGATATTACCGAATTCAAAAGCTATGAAGACTTGATTTCCGAAAATGAATTGGGCTGCTGCAATATAGTTTTCTCCAAATTTAAAATATAAATTATCAATAGAACAAGTAAATTTTTTAGCTTTGAATAAGAGAGAGATGTAAGATTAGAAAAGAGAAAGTGAGAAGAAATAGAAGGGAGGAGGATAGAATATATACAAATAAAATTAGAAAAGAAAATAAGGTAAAAAAATAAAGATAACTTGTAAGTTAAAAAAAAGTACACAACTTTTTATGGGAAAGTTAAAAAGTCAGTCATATCTATGACTATCACTTCATTTAGCCATTTACACTTATTGACTTAGCTCTAACAATTTTT